GAGTTCATATTCTTCATTGGAGTTATCTTCGTACAATTGCACACAAGGATGCTTTCTTTCTGGATACGTATTATATTTTGGTGCTGCAAATCTTAGTTTTGTCCAAGAAATACAAATTCTTTCCATATGTCCTCTTTGTTTTAGGAGGTTTTTTTTTTGAAAGGTAATCAAGTATTTTATTAATCAATGCATAATACACATGAAGTGTATTATCGATTTAAATCATAGAGTAACAACATGAAATTAGGCAGCCCATCTATATGCCTAGTAGCCGTGGCATTAAACCAAGTATGCAATGTCAAATAAAACAATTCCCTAAACTGCTCTGTTGTCCGTGTTTGGTCTTTAAAACAACGATTGTTTCTCTCTCTCCACACATACCATATGATGCAACCCGGAATAAGATCTCATATAGCCCTTGTTTGCCCCCTATCAAATTTCATTCCATTACATTAATTTTTTCTCTCTCTTCATTTCAACCATCCATTCATCAAATAAAATAATAATACACACAAATCTAAAACTTTTAAACCACACATCTCCCATCAATCACTATTCTAAAAATTTTCAACCCCCTTAAAATCCCAAATAATGGGGGCCAAACAGGGGCTAAATAACNTAATACACACAAATTTAAAACTTTTAAACCACACCTCCCATCAATCACTATTCTAAAAATTTTCAACCCCCTTGAAATCCCAAATAATGGGGGCCAAACAGGGGCATAATTTTGCTATCCTTATCTCGAAACTTTCTCCTCCATGCCTTTAACATGTCATCCATACGCCTCGACAACACCCAATCCATGTGCTGCGACGCCAAAATATCATTCCATAGTAAATGAGCAGCCTCCCAATGAAGAAATTTGACTGATTATGCTCTTGAAGAAAATTCATATGTTTATATTAATATTTGGGAAAGTTAAAACCTTTATCAGCATTAATATTTATCCTGAAGTATATGAAGTTAGTTTTACATATTTTTTCTTGGTCGAAAGGCTTTTGTCAACTACATATCTTGATTTGAAGTGTCCTTGTTGGGAAAATGTTCATCTCATTGAATGCTAAATTGGCGAATTGTTGTACTGAAAAAGAAAAAGTGAACAGGAGAGAAATTTGACTGATTGTACCCTAAAGAAAATTAATATTTTATTTCAATATTTTCTTGACAAGCTGAAACCTTGATAACCATAAAAATAAGTTTTTGCATTTCCTTTGTCAGGGTTGAAACCTTGATAACCATAAATGTCTGATCTGATGTGTTGTTTGGAAAAAGTTAACTGGATGCTTATGTGAACCAAACAGTTTGTGAAAATGATGCTTTTTTGGGATGAAGTTTATTAGAGATTTTAATTCAGCCCATGGGTCCGTACTACTGGAGATGGCATTTTTTCCTTGATGGACGTAAATAGTCATTTTTTGGGACTTTGCACTGCCTGTTGAATAAATGGAATTATAATTATTATATGATGGGAGCAAAAAAAACCCTAGAAATTTTTCCATTTGTGATATACCCTCATACCTATTGAAAATCACAAAAATGCCCCTTTGTTTGAAACCTTTTGTGCGAAAAACCCCCTGCCGTCAAGATCCATCAAATTACAGTTAAAAACTGTAAAAAATACCAAAATCTAAAAGTAATAATTGCAATTTCAGTACCTAAATTTTTATTTTTAACAAATTAAATCCAATTTTTTTATGTGTCACCTACAATTCCAAATCTTTAAAACTTCATTTTCCACCCTCACTTCATCTTCTTCCCCAAACATCCAATTGAGACTCCGCCCAAATTAAAATTAAAAGGGGGTAAAATGGTAGTTTTGAAATTACGATATTAAGGGGGTGTTTGTTTTTGATT